TATCTGGTCTCTGAATAATTTTTGGTTTTAGTTTTAATCCAAATGATGTGTGCACTAAGTGAGCGAACATCAATAAAGATCACGCAACAGAAGTGCTCTCTCTCTCTCTCTCTCTCTCTCCTTACCGTTAAGTAACTTGTGCATTGGTTTACTCACTTGTTTTTGACATATCCGACCAAACTACAAACAGGGATGTCTGTGAGAAAGGGCTGTTTGCTCGACAAGCTTGCGCATCTGTGCTGCCGCACGCTTAATCCACTCAGCGTGCTTTGCTTATCAGCTAGCGCACATCAGCTATACAGGCGTTAATACTGAATGTTTAATATTATATTAATTGCATACATATACTTCGTAGACATCCTTAATCTCGAATAACTCCATTCTGCTGTCTGCTGTCTGTTGTTCTGTTGTTGGTGTTTCTTTGTCTGAATACAGCACTTATCACATGCTGTGTGGTATCGGCGTTTGGTATCGGGGCATTTTAACGAGTACGAGTACAGGAGCGCAGTATCGGCCCGATAATGGTTATCCCTAATGGCATCCCTAATGGTTATAATGATAATTAAAATGGTTAAATTATTAAAAAATGATTAAAAAAATCAAATGGTAATACTAACCATGGGGAATTTTATCATGATTTATCGTCAAACATCCCTAGTGGACAGTCAGTCATTTAGATCCAATTCCAATCAGATATGCACAGAAATTGGATTTGCACTGACACTCTGAACAAAGCCTTAGATGCCATTGGAACTGTTGTTTTATTTTTCCTGGATTTCATTATTATTATTATTATTATTATTTATTTATTTTTTCTCACAACATACATCACAACAATCCACAAGCAATCCACATGCATCCAGTCCATCAATTAACATCCTGTGAAGTGAAACGCTGCATGTTTGTAAGAATGTCAAATAACCTGAAATCATAAAACTAATAAACGAAATAAAATGTATCAACAATATATTCTGTATAATATAAATAAATTAAAAAAACAATATAAATCTGTATAATAATAGGGCCCTATGAAATGTTTTATTTAGAAATTCTGTTTTCCTTTTCCGATTTAATACAAATTTATTATCAAAAACGGTGGTAATCAAATGAAGGCATAAAACATGAACAGCTTTTTTTTATGTAATCAAATGAAAATTCAACTTTATTTTTTGCCTAACAAAGTGCTGCACAACAGGTTTACTGTTAAAATTAAAATATGGAAGAAAAATTTTGATTTTTTTCTGTGGAAAAAAAAAAATATATAAGAGTTGTATTTTTTTATTATTATTATTACTTTGAGAAGGACATTTTACTGAACAATAGTAGTACAATATATGTAAACCAGACTTTTATTTTGACAGGTTGTCATGAAGAACTTTGATGATCTGTGTGTTGCATGTGATATATGATGATAGTTGTTTTTGTTTTTTTTTATTCTGGTGAAGTGACTCCGTTCTGGAGATTCATGTAAAAAAATCATGTCTTCATACATTGAGACGGCAGTTGCAGAAAACACCACAATTGTCACGTGTGCTTCAATATGTGTATAGTAGATGAAACCATAGATATCAATGGATGAAACTGGCATTCATTCACTCAGATGTGCAGACCATGCAGACTGCATATTTAAAAAGCAGTCTTTTGTGCTTTAACACTAATCATTCTCCACTTTTGATCAGTACTTTAGATTTATTAATCCAAAATTTGCCAAATTTCGTGACAGTCCACGTTATACAGTAAATTCCATTTTATAACTGAATTCCACGATTCCATCCGCATTCCCCTGATCATGGAAATCATAGGGCCCTAAATTATTTTGCGGACCCCCTGGGTTTGCATCACTTTGAGAACCCCTGGAATATGGCAACATTTTAAGTTTAACTCTTTTTATTGATGCTATTCAATCATAAAATTAAAAAAAAGCCAATAGAATAACTTCAATCTGTTAACGGAGATCAAAATTAAATTAGTCAAAAAATTCCTTACACTTTGAGGCAAACACAAAATAATAAGAATCTTCATTTTTATATTATTGACTCTGCCTGCAAGAGAAAGTGGGAGAGTTGTCCACTTAGCAAGATCCTGATTTGTTTTCTCCAAAATTGCAATAAAATTATGCTTAAAGAGGTCAACATATTTCCATTTTACTGTTACTCCCAGGTATCAGAAATTGTCTGAGGCTAATTTAAATGGTAATATTGACGTTGGAAGAGATCTTGCAGCAGAGTTAATTGGGAAAAACTCGCTGCAAATTTAATTTATAACCTGAGATATCACTGAACTTTCTTAGAACATTTAGGACATGGGAAGACAGGTTTCTGGATCTGAAACATATAATACCACATCATCCGCATAGAGAGAAATTTTCTGTTCTTTTCCTGCACTACACCGGATGTGACAATTGTCATGTTGTGTCATGCTGCGCTGCAACAGCTAAAGTCTGTCTACAATGGACCTAACAAGGCGACCGTTGCAAATCATTTGAACTTTGTGTCAGTACATCATAAATAGAATGAGGCAGCAGTTTACTATAAGTATATAGTATAATAAGTTCTATAGTATTTTGCTGTGCCGCTAGCATCCAGTGTAGACACGGTGTAAGAATACCAGTGATATTGTGATTATTACAAAAGGAGATTGCAAGAGGTTCTATAGCTACAGCAAACAAAAGGGGACAGTGGGCAACCCTGTCTTGTGCCATGGTGAAGAGGGAAATAATCAGGACTAATACCATTTGTGACCCGGGACCACAAAACCAGTCATAAGGGTCAAGTTTTTGAAATTTAGATTTATACATCATCTGAAAGCTGAATAAATAAGCTTTCCATTGATGTATATGGTATGTTAGGATAGGACAATATTTGGTCGAGATCCAACTATTTGAAAATCTGGAATCTGAGGGTGCAAAAAAATCAAAATATTGAGAAAATCGCCCATTAAAGTTATCCAAATGAAGTCCTTATTTTTTTATTAGTAATATGCTTTCATAAGTTTAGATATATTTACAGTAGTACGTTTACAAAATATCTTCATGGAACATGATCTTTACTTAATATCCTAATGATTTTTGGCAAAAGAAAAATCAATAATTTTGACCCATACAATGTATTGTTGGCTGTTGCTGCAAATATACCCGTGCGACTTACGACTGGTTTTGTGGTCCAGGGTCACATTTGCTTTTACACGCCAAGGGAGAAGAATGTAAGAGTTTTACCCAGGACACAAATTTATCACCTAGTTTTTTTTCATGTATAGAATAAATAGTCCCACTCAACACGATCAAATGCCTTCTCTGCATCAAGAGAGACTAAGGCCTTAGGCACAAATGTCAGACGAAGTGTAAATTGTTCATCAACCTTCTGAAAAAAAAAAACCCTGTCTATTTTTAAAAAAGCCAGTTTGGTCTGGATTAATGATGTCTTGAATAACAGTTTCTAACCTAAGAGAGAGAACTTTTGCCAGAATTTTTACATCTACGTTAAGAAGGGAAATTGAACCGTATGACCCACACTTCAATGGAATTTTATCGGGTTTTAGAAGAATAGAGATTAATGCCTGGTGCAAAGAAGGAGGGAGACCACCATTATTTAGAGCAGTATTTCCCGCGGCAGTTTTGATATGTAAAAAATCCCACAGCACACCACTAAGCAGTAAAAAAAAAAAAAGAAAGGAGAAAAGAAAAAAAAAATGTCCCCAATAATCAAACAATGCGTCATCAGAGTTGGTATTTCACTTTATATATGATCAGACACTTGCACTTAACATTTTCTGAAAATCATACTCAAATGGAGTTAACAAGGTTTTTGATGACCGAATGACGGAGATCTGTGTTTTGTCCATCATTAGAATGGCTCGTTCCCCTTTTCAGCCAGCATTTCTGCAATGTTTCATCCCGATTTTCCCGATATTATTTTTCCTTGTAGATATGTCACAGTCACTTGCTTTATGAATATGTAACAGAAATAACTAAAACTGCTGAATAAATAGATGAAAGTTCATGGAGCGACTTCCACCTATCAGTCATCTTGAGGCATACCGGAAGTCCTGGCAACATTTTTATTTTAAAATCTTTATTTGAATATGGCGACTTGATACCTTGTTCTACAATATTTCTATCTATAAATCACTGACAGAGACCCATCCTCTATCAGCCAATCACTGTGAGCATTGTTAAGCATAGTGCTTCAACAGTAATTTTACGAAGCTACGAGAATACTTCTTGTGCACAAAGAAAAGAAAAAAAAAACGACTTTATTCAACAGTTCTTCTCATCTGTGTTGCTGTCATCCACCATTATAGAGAGTACCATGACGCGTGTGAGTGCTGCTGCTGACATCAAACACACATGCGTTGCACCTTGTTTACGATCAGAGGAAGGCACACGCATGCATCGTGGTACTCTTGATAAGGGATGGTGACGCAGAAGAGAAGAATTGTTAAAGTTGTCTTTTTTTCTTTGCACACAAAAAGCATTCTCGTAGCTTTGTAAATTACGGATGAACCACTGATGTCACATGGACTATTTTATTGATGTTCTTACTACGTTTCTGGGTCTGGGAACATTTGAGTTACAGTACATCACTGTCTGTGGAGAGTCAGAAAGCGCTCAAATGAATAAAAAAAAACCTTAATTTGTATTCTGAAGATGAATGAAGGTCTTGCGGGTTTTGAACGACATGAGGGTAATTAATGACAGAATTTTCATTTTTGGGTGGAGTATCCCTTTAAGATTTCTCCCCATTCTCAGCAGCTTTGTGAAGCTCTGTGAAGAAGAAACTCTTACCAAACAACTTTTAGTAATAAGATACAATTTTTGTGAATACGGCCCCTGGATTTCTACTAAAGAACTTTAGCTCTGAACTGACATTTTGATGGAAAAACACATGTGGGTGCACAGGCTGCTAGACTGCTTCTCACAATAACCAGTTTCTGGTATGCATATAAATGTTGTGATTGTGTGCTGCAATATTGAGAGGCCTTCTTTCTCTCTCTTTCTCCAGAGTGACCTGTGGTCGTGTGGTATCACTGCTATAGAAATGGGTGAAGGAGCTCCTCGTAAGTATCCACACATTTCCTGGTCTAGTCTGTCCTCTCAGTCGTTGACTTGGTCATTGAATTCCAGTACAAATGACTAATTACTCATTAAGCCATCAGTCAACTAATAGTACAAATGGTATTACATATAGTATAATGCTGTAATTTAACAGGCCGATTAGGGCTGGGCAGTATGATGCTATATATCGTTACAATGGTATAAAGGGCCTATTGTTAGAGATTTTTCTAAATTGTTTATTTTTGCTATATAAATATATCCACATAGCACAGAACTACTTAAAGTTACAGATAAAGAAACATGCGTGAAAGATAAAATAAAAGAGCGAGACGTGCTTAATGTTAAATAGAGTTACTAAGCACAATAAGCTATGAAAAGGAACTCAAGACGGAATTGATGTGGAGCTTGCACTGACCGTCACACCTGTGAAGTACGTGCACAGAAAGCCACCTCTCTCGATCAGACAACATGCAGTCATGAATTCAGTTGTCTTTCAGGTTTTATTGTGCTTGAATGGTCAAATACACGTAAAGGTATGTCAAAATGCCTAACATGTAGAGTATTCGCAGTCTGTGTTGACAAACCGGATGTGCATCATTTTATTAGATCCGTGCATTTGGTCTTAAAGGGACAGTAGCCTGTTTTACCCACTGCTGTCTATAGTTCCTTTCACACACACCCACATTTCCAAAATACTGGTAAATTCATTATGAAAATTTACCGGTATGAAAAGTTGTAACTAGGGATGTAACAATTACCGGTTTGACGATAAATCATGATAAAATTCCCCACGGTTAGTATTACCGTTTCATATTTTAATTATCATTATAACCGTATTCAATTACCGCGATTTAAAACCTCTTCCAACAGCAACCTAGTTTTCCCAGGAGGTCTCCCATCCAGGTACTGACCAGGCTCAACCCTGCTTAGCTTCAGTGGGCAACCAGTCTTGGGCTGCAGGGTGATGTCAACACGGAAAACACTTCATCACTGGATAGGATTTTTTTTCCTTTTATTGAAAGTGTGTTTTATGTTAGTTGCATGTGCAGAACGCTCATCAGAGAAGATAAGGTGACATGTTTTTTGAGCACAATTCGCACCCAGTGGTAATTCAGGGAAAAAAAATTATTTGAATGCTCCACATGAAAAAAGAATTTGGTCTTTCAAACTTTTACCATCATGTCAGTTGATTTTTATGAATATGTCCAATGGAGGGAGAGAAAAGAGAGTGCATGGGGAGGGCCTCTCTGCTCTTTCTCTCTCTCAGATAACACGTGCACTATCACAGCAGTCATTTACTTTACTCATAAATCACATCAACTGATCAAAAAAGGCTTTGGTGGGACAAAAATTGACTTTGGTGGCCGCTAAAAAATTTTCAATGCAGGAAAAACGCTGCCCTCCATGTTTACAGACACAACACCAGGAAGTGCAGCCATTTAGAGGTCATTTCTTGTTGATGTCACAGAATTTACCGGTATTTTGAAATTGATGTGTGAATTGTGCTTTACTGGTATAAAGACAGAACATCATTGCCTATGTGAACAGTGTATTTTTGTATTTACCAGTAAAGTCATTCTGCCAGTTTTACAACAATTTACTGGTATTGCTGTGTGAAAGGGGCTTATGTCATTAATGTTAATTAAACAACAAAATCACTTGCTGCTCTTGACTTATTTGATTCATACTTTGAAGCAGTGCTGGATGAAGTACCTGAAAGCCACATTTGGCACTTGGCACACAGTGGCATTTAGATGTATTTAAACAGTTTAATGTAGCTCAGAGGAAACATTGATGCATTGATACAGTTTCTGCGTGAGGGCGTTCTCCGGGGTCCAGTATGAATGGAACAGATATTAAATGTTTTTGTTGCGCTCAATAATGGCCAATCCATCCTGTTTTGAGTAAAAATAGGATAAACAATACTTCTCTCAAAATACATTTTAAGTAGACATATGAGAAGCCATGTTTTTCAAAAGTGTAAAGAAGTGTACTGGAGTTTTTTTGTTTGTTATTTTTTAATGGCATATAAATGCTATAACTAAAATGGCATTAATGCTATAAAAAAAAAACAATACATAAAAAAACACTGATGTGCCAAGCCATCAGAGCCTAACCTAACCGAAAACCATGGTTAAAGGTGGGTGTGGCTGAGTGCAGACCTGCTAAAAGGGCCTATTTAACATTAAAGCTTGCATTTTGCACATTGTGCAATTACGATTTTGACATTGTTCAGGTAATAATGTAGCTATCTAGGAATGTATGAACCCAACACATACACGCACCCCCACCTCCCGGAAACCTCGTGCCGGGTCCCGTTACACTGATGGTACTCAAAGTTTTTCAAAGGTTGGCAGGTCTGATATCATCGCAGAAGGTACAATGTACTGTATGTTGCAAACTCCAGCCTTGACTTTTGTGGAAAATTACATAATCTGCAGTTTTTAGAAGTCTAACTTGAAAGCACCGAACCACTGATTCGTCAAACCTGCTTTCTTGCAGTCTGTGTTCTTCTGCCTTTATTTTGTAGTAAGTAGCGAATATGCTTCAGGGAATTGTATGGGAGTTTAAGTATGAATTTTAATTAGGAAATGTAGTGGAGAAAAAGTGAAAGTTGACAGAAATATAAAAACTAAAGTACAGATTCTCCCAAAAAAATACTCAAGTACTCTAACAAAGTTGTATTACTTTGTTACATTACACCACTGCTTTAAAGACCATGCCGTGTTTTAGTTTAACACTTGATTATTACATTTCTGTAGTATTTTTTACTATCTACTGTAGCAGAAACTTAAAACTGAAAGTTTGTTTGTATCTTTTTGATTATTTTTGATTTGTATTTGTCCTATTGTTTATAATTTGCTTCTTTGTTGTTTTTAATAACAAAAATAAAATAACTATATTGAAATATGTCATTATTGTGAATATATATATTTTTTAATACTCTGAAATTTGATTTTGTTCATATAGCCCACCCCTAATACTGACTGTTCAGCTGACGAAACGTCTCTCTGAGAAGAAGTTACAGTAGACAAACATTCCATAAAACAGTTTTGAAAGCTGCTATGAAAATTACATAATCTAGGACATTTATGCAGTGTGTGGAATTGTAAATACTGTAAGTCTATCCTTCACAGTCATGTTTGCATCCTCGTTATATTCAATATGGTGCCTAACCTGACAAAGGTCTATAAGAACTAGTGTGGTCAAAAGTTTTTAAAAGTTTTTGTTTACATAATATATGTGTGTACTGTGTATATTTATTATGTATATATAAATACACACACATGCATGTATATATTTAAGAAAAATATGTTACATTTATATATTAAATATATTTATATATGATATAATTTATATAAATATATACATGTAAATACATGTAAATATTCTCAAAGTATATGCTGTATGTGTGTCTTTATATATACTTAATAAATATACAAAGTACACACACACACATGATGTAAACAAATTTTTTTTATTTTGGATGCAATTAATCGCGATTAATCGGTTTGACAACACTAATAAGAACACAAAGTTGGCATGAAAGTATTCCATATACAGCCAGTGGTTTAATCTGTTTTCTGAAGCAATCCAATCATTTTTATATAACATTTTTTATATTTTGTCACTGTCTTTCATACGTAAACTATGTCAGTTCACTCTATTTCAGCATGTTTCAGTGAGAGTAGCAGCAGAATGGAGATCAGGATAAAGTGGTGTACGCGAAGATGGTCTATGACCTATTCTGTTTAAAAAAAATAAAAGGATGTTATCTGTCTAATGATCTTATTTTTACAAAAAAGTATTAAGTTTTTTATTAAAGGGGTCATATGATGCTGTTTTAAAGAACATTATTTTATGTATTTGGTGTAAAAGAACATGTTGACATGCTTTAATGTTCAAAAAACACATTATTTTTCAAATACTGTACATTATTGTAGGTCCTCTATGCCCCGCCTCTTCGTTTTAGGTAGGCGTGGCTGACTCTTAACTTTTATAAAGAATATCTCTTTGGATTTGAAACTTTAGTCTTTGCAACTTTACAGATCTTCTTTATGCACCAAGAGCTTGTAACACTCCAAAGAGAAAGGAAAACTTGAAATCGCATCATATGACCCCTTTAAATGTCAGTTACAATTACCTTTTTTTTTTTTTTATCCTGAATGCTCTTTTTCAAGTTTTCTGTTTCTCCCCAAGTCTGGCTAAAGCTACACTTAAGTGTGTTTATTTTTGTTGTGCTGATGGGCAATTTTTTGTCTTTTCCCCTGTCTCTTTCTGCAGCTCTATGTGACATGCATCCAATGCGCGCCCTTTTCCTTATTCCCAGAAATCCTCCTCCACGGCTCAAATCAAAGAAGTGGTGAGACGATCCCGTGATTTTTTTATTTTTTTTTCCCCTCTTCCTCTTCGTATATTTTTTTTTTTATTACTATTTTTGAATTATAAATGACTCGTGACAGAAGAGCCACATTGGTGATATCCAATGTTACCAAGATTTTTTCTGTCACAGAAAACCCCTCTCTCTTTTATAATAATGAAGCTCATTCTTTACTTTCAATGTGAAATTTCCTGTGAGTGACGCTAAAAGAGCAGATGAATGTGAATCTGTCAGTGTTTTATTACACTGGTTGTTGTACATATCGTGGCTGGTCAGAAATGAAATATCTGGTGAGTGGCGCTAAAACAATAATGCTCTATCGAATTTCAAAATAGCATACCACCTACACTAAACCCTACCCTAAACCTAACCAGGCAATAACAAAAGCAAACATTAGATAAAAACACATTTGCTGCAACAACCATGCCGTTTCAATTTTTTTAGCTCTTTTATCAAGACTAATGTTTCACAGGAAGTTTACAAATGAGCAAGTTTACTATGTCAGCCTTACATGAGGAGCTAATGATATACCAACATCAAAATGTAAAAGTATTTTGAGGTCATAGCTTTGTATTGTACAAGGTACCTCACAAAAATGAGCCTTTATTAATTGATCATCTCTGTATCCTTTTGGTTGTTTTGGTATCCGGTAAACTTTTGGATGTCAAATTAAAGGATTTTCAATCAGCTTTGGATTTTTCCAATGTCAATAGTGTAAGTAAATGAGCAATGTGTATTATTTTTCTTTGTTACCTCCACCCAGACATTCCTGTTTATTGGTCAAGGAAATTCTGACTGGATGATGTAAAAAGCTATGTCCTGTGGACTTTTGAAAATTACAGGGCTTTTGTTGAAACTGCAGATTTTACTTTTGCATTTTTGTGTCCCTGCACACAGACAGTCTGATTGAGTCCAGTGTATTATGGGTGTTGAAGTTTTCCTACCTATTTTCACCACAGCCCTTTTTCACTGTTTTCTCTAGTTGTGTAGCATTAAGAAAAAAATGCCTTTTTACTACATAGGAAGCATATTTCAATTAAAAACCCAAGTTTGCCAATGGTGAATTACCCCTTTAACAGACCAGACTTTGCTTTTCTCTCTAAGCTTCTATTCCCATTTTCCAAAGGTCCAAGAAGTTCTTCAGCTTTATTGAAACCTGCCTGGTGAAGAATTACATCCATCGCCCCTCTACAGAGCAACTGTTGAAACATCCTTTCATTAGAGACCAACCTAACGAGAGACATGTTCGCATCCAGCTCAAAGACCATATAGACCGCACTCGTAAGAAGAGAGGAGAGAGAGGTTAGACACTTCAATGCAGGAATTTTTAACATGATTTGTTTTTTAAATAATAAAACAGTTTATAGTGCTGTGAAAGAGTTTGCCCTGTCTGATTTTGTCTGGATTTTCACTAGGCCATTGTATAATTTAAATTAAAAATGTTTAAATTAAAAAATCTGTTTGGAGGGCTGAAATCACTGACAGACACTGACTTTTCATTAATGTTTCAGTTTCTCCTATCGGGTGTTTTGTCTTATGCCATTGTCTGTTTCGTGCACAATGTAGATAAACTTCAACAGGTGAAGATATCAACCGTGTGGACACTAGTGCTGGACTGATAATATCTATTTCTTGATTTTTAAGCTTCATTTGATGAACCCAGATAAATCGACTTAAATCCCAAAACTGTGCAAAGTCTGTGCAGTTTTCATATGTGTGAACAAAACTTCACTAAACATTATTTGTAGTGTCTGCCATCCAATAGTCACAATAAGCTTTGAACTTTCTTACTTTTGATTTACTTTACTTTACTTTTGTCAGTCATTTTTCTGTCCTAGAGTTAATTAAAACCCAGATGTTCATTTGCTGTTCATTTTAGAAATGTTGTTCATACCTGCATGCCAGAACTCTTGCAGCAATCATGTAGCAGGTTTTATTTGGTACTGAAGCCAAATTCCTTTTCCTGTGGCACAGAAGAACTATTCGCACAATTCAGTGCATAGAACATATCAATTTGGGCAACCCCACACTTTCAGTGAACAGATGAGAAACACAGCAAAACATGCATCTGTGGATCAGGCCAAGTAAACCTTGCTTATTAGCATTAGTTGTAAAACACATAGACAATACCAATACCACTGCATATAATGTAGTACAAATACATATAAAGGTAGCCCACACCCTGTGTAATTCTGTTATCTGATTTTTGTAGTGTTTTATTTCACTTTGTAAAGCTGAGTTGAAGTATTTTGCATGAATTCTTTTTTTAAAGCAAATTATATTTTTGATTCATTTCTTTCTCCTTTCAGATGAGACGGAATATGAGTACAGTGGAAGTGAAGAAGAGGAAGAAGAGGCACAAGAACAGGAAGGAGAACCCAGGTATCACAAAACTTGCCAAAAACTTTTTTTTTTGTTCCAAAATAACAAATACTTAGCTTCAGATGTATCTTGAAACTTTCAGTATATTCCTGGGTGGTTTGTTGCAAGTCTTAAGGCCATTGCACACGGAGTCCGAATTTGTTCGTCCGAAATTTTCGCATGTTGAAAAATAAATACGACCTCACATTGTGTCAATCATGTTTACACACTGCCTCCGAAACTTTCGCCCGTCATAAAAAAATTCGGACCAGGTTCGATTTTCTGTGTTTTCGCATCCGTAGCAAGCATTTTGATAGGAAAGGATGACGAATACGAAAAAATGGAAAAAAGCATACGAAAATTTCGGACTCCGTATGCAAGGACCTTTACTGATGTGTCCCCTCAGTTCTATAGTGAACGTGCCTGGTGAATCTACTCTGCGACGTGACTTCATTCGTCTGCAGCAAGAGAATAAGGAGCGATCAGAGGCACTGAGGAGACAACAGCTACTCCAGGAACAGCAACTCCGAGAACAGGAGGAATATAAGCGGCAATTGTTGGCTGAGAGACAGAAACGCATTGAACAGCAGAAGGAGCAAAGAAGACGACTTGAGGAGGTTGGGCTTCAATATAAATATTGTGATTATTGTCTTAATCTTGCTTATACTTGTTCTGCATGAACGTACGTGTGTGTGTGTTTGTGTGATATTTGAGAAAATGGAATTGTAGGCAGTTGCTGTGGCAACAAACAACAGTGCCTTTATGTATTGTGTGACATGTTAACAAACTTTTTTGGAGGAATTCTGTTTATAATATTGAGTTTGTTCTTTGTGGTCCTGTGCTGCCTTTTAATTCAGTTGATTTGAATATGTCTGTATTGGCTAATGTTGGTTAAGTGAATGCTTAAGTTTAAACGTATAATGATCATTATGCAAGGCAAGCACATGTAGTAAATTTGCTTTTGCCACCTAGGGAGGCAAAATAGTGTGGTGAAGGTCACGTGTAAGAATAATAAAATTAATTTTATTTAAAAAGATAGACAAGAGTAATCACAACTTCTAAGTGAATACCATGAATGGAAAAGGAATAAAGGGTTGGCGGTTCCACCTTCAGCGAGGCAAAATAAGGGACACCCCCCCACCCCAGCTCAGCAATAAACCATGAGAAAACATGCTCAAGTATGTAAACTTGCAACAGAACACATTAATATTGTTATTTTAAATGTGATTATTTATAATTAGGCCTATTAATTATTATTAGCCTTTTTTGATAGTTCTGCAACTGTTACCTGGATGGGATAAAAATTTCTATTATTTATTTATTTTTATTAATTTGCTTAAATTATGACTATTATTATGTAATTTTTTGTCCCATTTTTATCTAAATAATTTAGCATGCTTAGCAAACTTTTGAAAGTGCCAAATTGTATATGACATATATGATTATTTATTATGTATATATTTGTGATTATTATAAATGATAAATTAATAGGGTCTAACATCAATTATAATCTATTAATTCATCTGTCTAAAATGTCTAAAAATATAATAATTGTCTACCAAGCTCTGATAATGTATGGAATATTATATTAAAGGGGTCATATCATGCGATTTCAATTTTTCCTTTGTCTTTGAAGTGTTACAAGCTCTTGGTGCATAAAGAAGATCTGTAAAGTTGCAAAGACTAAAGTCTCAAATCCAAAGAGATATTCTTTATAAAAGTTAAGAGTCAACCACGCCTACCTAAAACGGCTCGTTCTAACACGCCCC